TTTATCAAACAATCTCCTGCCAATAAGGACGTGGTACTTGTCCTCTAACCGGCGGTTTTACTGCCAAATGGCACCGCAGGATAAATGGTTATGACCCAGGGCCCTCTGAACCTAGTGGTTTTGCCGCCAAATGGCACCACAAAATACCAGTTATGGCCAGAGCCAATACGCTCCTTAGTGGCATCAAATATTTGAGATATGAATCAATAGGGTATGATCGATAGGGTACAAAGCCTCTTTTAGCTAAGGTGGATTCAAATTTGTCCCCTTATACAAACATTCACCCCAAGTCTACAAGGTCCCCTTGGACAAAGCAACCCATGGCTGCCGACAAGGATCCTTCTATCAGGTTGGGTCGACTACCTCTTATGACTAAGTAGACCAGGGACCACGATGGCCCGGGACGACAGAACCATGGGATCTTGATCGGATCCATCATCCATTCCCCCCACCATCAGCTTTAAGTGCAAGATAGTGCAAATTTATGTTTTAAATATTAATTTTCCAAACATACAAACTTTCTAAATTTCCAAAGCCCAATACCCATGCTGCTACTATATGCCAGATAACACGTATATACGTATCTGATTGACGACTAGCCTTAATCGAAAGTTCTCTCTCGTGATCGGGAGGGGTAATTAACTATAGGGGCTTGCGCCTATAGGATACCAGAACTCAGATCATAAAGTTCTCGCAAAATGAGGGCGAAATCTCTGGGTAGTGTCTTATCTACAAACCCATCTGCCTTCCAAAATTTACCCCGAAATTTAGTTCGTTAAAACTCCCTCGCCAAAGAAAAAGCACACAAACAACGCGGCGGGGAGGCCGGGGCCGAATTTCGGAGCCCACATTGTACAAGCATGACATAAATCAATGTCTAAAGCCATTATTAGCCTTATTCCAATTATTTATTTTCGTCCTCTTTTTCCCATTCATCTATATTGAGTACATGAGGGCATTTTCCTAAGTTTGCGTATGGCTTTTTTTCTTACCTTTCATCCACCTATTTTCTTCCTAAACCCTTATTGATATTTCATCTACGTGGTTATTGGTGCATTTTTATCATTTGCTGTATGCCCAAACCATTGAGCACTAATTTGGTTGAAGATGGAAAGTATATTTTAAAAATGATTTCATTTCCACACTTTTTGAAAATTAAATCAGCACTTTTGATAGATTTTGAATATCTTCAATTTAAATCTCATATTAATTTATAGGTATATTCTGCTAAGTCTTAGAATTTAATAATTTCTTCTTTTTTCAAGTCATATTTTTTTAATTTCGAGCATCCAAATGATCCCAAGTCTTTTTTTCACAACATTATTTTAAGGGATGCCACTTTATTGCTCCTTTATCATAATCATTTCTCAATCCATTATTTATTATTTTTCCACATCTCCATCTTAATATTCTCAATTATATCTCACTCAATTAATTATCTATTGATGATTTCTTTCGTACACAACATTTAGATTCTTAAAACATAGCTTGCTTGATTGTATTTATACATAATTTTTCTTGTTAACCTCCATGATATCACATGTAACTCATGGCATTCTCTATTTCAACTGCTCATCCATAAGTTTTGAAGTTGTATCCTAATTTTTTATATAATAGAGTCAAGCCATATGAATCTATTAAATTTAGGTATTATTTTATTTTGTAGTAATATGGTTTATTCACTAGAATAATGACCCCATTAAAAATTATATATCATCTGCTATGTTTTCCACCAATTCTAAGCCCTTTATCTTCTAAACATTAAAATGATAAATATCTTTGAAAATTTCCCAATATTTATATCATATTAACTAATAGAGAAAAAAAACAAAATGGACCATTGGCTTTTTATAAAAGATCAAAATAGTCCCTGATCATATTAAATAACTATTTTGGTACCTCAACTCTTTAAAGAACAATCAAAATATTTCCGTCATGGGATTATTTTGATTCTTTTTTAAGGACTTGCGAGATCAAAATCGTCTTTTAATATTGTTGGGGACTGTTTGGTTCGAGGGTCTATTTTGGTCTTGTTTTCTTTGCTAATAATTTGTTCATTGCTGAGATAGGCCCTCTTAGGCGTGGCTTGAATTGATTAAGTGATGAGGACATCGACAGACGCTACCGACATGTTTATCGCCGGCGAAACCGCAGATCGACGGCCACGATTCAGCGCCTCTACTTCTGATTTAGATATCATTATGTATTTTATTATTATTGTCTTGTTTTACTGTTTTCCCATTTTACCCCTGTGGGGAGTTATGTCTTATTGTGGCCCAAGGGGCATTTGAGTACTTTTATTTCCTTATGTTTGAAGACCTATTTATAGGGGTCTCATGCTTTGTAATAGGCTAATGAAGTTTATGAATGAAATTTGTCTTGAATTCCTTGTCTTCTTCTTCTTGTGGAGAGTTAGAAAGGAGAGTGAGAGCCCAAGGTGAGGGCGAAACGCAACACCCACCAGTCATTGGAAGAGTCCATGGCTCGTGGTCTATCCCCCATACCCGATTTCCCCTCTTTCTCTCCAACCCGCCCACCTCAACTCTCCCCTTAGCCGCCGGCCATCCTACCACCACCATCCAGCCGGGAACCTTCCAACCATTGACCCAATCTCCTCTTCCATTCGAAGCTAAATTTTGAAATTCGAATTTCGAATGTCAAAATCTTTCCTATTTTAGAATTTTCAAATTAGGAAAGTTTTTGAATTCGTTTTCATGACGAATTTCAATTTCAAATGAATTTTGTTTTAACCCTTTTCAAACATCATGCATGCAATTTTGGAAGCCACCCACTTACACCCACACCAAATTCCCCTTCTAGAAGCCGCCGACCACATGCTTGGATGGAGCCCCATTAATGCTCCATTAAGGCATTGATTTCTCTTGAATTAGGAATTAATTCAACTTCAATTTTCCCTCCTAATTTACTTAAAACTGAAATCTAATTTCAGTTTTCAAATCCCTCCCTCTCCTATTGACCGCCGGCCCCCTTTCATGGGCTTTCCCCT